TATCCACGAGAATTCATTTACTTCTAGGTATGAAACTGGTAAAAAATGATATTATTAAAAAAGCTGAAAGATAGTTTGGTTTAGCGTTTTCCAACTATTATTTATTTTCTATAAAGTTAAAATTTTATGAAAGTTCTATGTTTTTTTGTTGCTAAAACAGACTTTTGAAATAAACGATATGTTTATGCTTTAATTAATAAAAAAAATGTATATTGCAGTATATTAATATTGAAATTACTGAAACTGTATCTATAACTATTGAAACTAATGAAAACATTAAATATATATTGTAAACTTAGTTTGGAATTCATACATACGATAGCGGTAACGTCAACGTGTTTCTAAAGTTACCACGAATATATGTGTCTGCAGTATTTAATCCCTATAGAATATATTACCCAGTGCATAACATTCCAAATTCATATGTGAATAATGTATGCATTTGGTCTGCATTCTATAATAATGGATATCATAAATGTTGAAATTCAACATTTATTTGTATTAAAAGACTTTAATTTAATAATCATTTATTTTTTAATTTCATAAATTAAATGTAACAAAATATGTATATGGGATTGTATTATGACTTAAGGAATAAAAAATTGATTTGAAAATTTATTTGCTGTAATCAGTATATATCAATAATTTTATTACATTGTGACCTAATTACTATCGAAATAATAAAAAATGTAAAATAACGTGATTTATAAGAAATCTGTGTTTGAAAGCGACAATCGCATTTTACAATCTTCGCATGATTACTTCGCCTCTACGTTTATTTTTATTTTTTTTTCATGCCGTTTCCAGATTTCGATGAAGATGACCTTTTGACCCACAACTGCATAAAACTCTATAACGTAACAATCGACATTAAATCCTGACGATCACCAACCCCTACATTAATTAGAATTATCTTCGTATTTTTCGGTTAGTTTCTCAAATTCCTGATAATAATTTTAAGACATGTTTGGTTGATGGACTATTTAGACTTATTTCTTAAATATGTTAATGAATAAAGATCAGTAAGAATCATACAAAAATGAAATATAAATGAAAAACTGTATTTACTACTTCACTATACGATAGGAAAGTAATGATTTTTCAGTATACTACATTTTGTAAATAGGAAAGGAAAGCAATTGAGACATAATGCATATTTCCAAGGTTTGATGACGCTCGTCTTTCCATGAATTTGTTCAATGGTTTCAGATGTGTTTTATACAAAATCCAAATTGATTGTCCTAAAAATGTTCTCAGTAAATATACTTTATATGATACTAATTATTTCCAGTGGCGGATTTATGCCTTGTCTTTATGGGCTGCAGCGGAAATTAAGACTGCTTCATTACTTTCATAATAATTAAGTTAAACAAGTTTTTTGTTTATTTATTTACAAGTTCAAAACCTACAAAGTCAATATTGCCAATCTATTATTATTGTTTTTGCAATGAAAACTTCAACTAGCGTTGTATTGTTATGTAACTAGTAGGAAATTTACGGATGAATTGTATAGGAATAACGATCGTTTGCATAATTGAGGAAAAAGTATACTAAGAAACTCTGTAACTGGGACTCGGTTCGCGAAAATAAAAGTTCAGTATTATTGAATTAAAAGACTGAAAGTTTGAAATGCGTGCAAAAGTTTCTGGATTACATAAAAGTGCGGACGGGCCCAGCAAATCCAGAAAAAGCCTCTCACCGGCTCAGCCATTTCATCGCGAAGCTTTAGAACAAAATCTGATTAAAATTCTAAAAAAAAAATTAAACAAATAAATATGTAGAAAATAAAACAAACAAGAATATTTACTTTAATATTTCTTTATTACAAATACACATTTTCTCTCTCATATTATATTATATATATATATATTATTTTTTTTACAACAAGTCATAGGATTATACAATGTATATTCAGCTTATCAGAACCACACGGCGAGTGTGAGGAGGGGTAGTGTTTCCATCATTCATCCATTTCCAACTTCATCTTACACGTCCATTCGCGTCGATGCGAAATTTGGAAAAAAATAATATGTCAGCACACCAAAAGAATTCTGAGTCCAATGAAGATTGTCGAATTCATACAGAGTATACAAATGTTAAATTATCTTTTCTTTTTTTCGACCTAGGTAGAGTCGGATCAAAAGGGATCTCGCTCACCTGTAAATAGATGGTACTCCAAAGTAGCCAAAGATCGAACATAAAAAATATCAACAAACAGAACAACGGTAATATTTCATAAAAATTATAAATACAAAACAATTCAATCGAACCAACTTGACTTATCTTCTCCTATCCTTATAGTTTTTCTCTTTTGTATCTTCATATCAGTCACATTTTTGTTTTGTTTTCAATATACAAGATATAAACTCTCATGTATAATTAGTGTTAGGTTTTCATTCTCATTTCCATATTTAATTTTTTTACATAATAGACTTACACATTTTTTTTTTAGTTATAATATATCTATGAACAGTTTGACAACATAGAAAAATATTTATATACTATATTTTACAAAAACTCATTTGCCTTAATTTACTTTTTCCCAAGGCACCGTTACGTAATAGAAACCAAACGCTACAAATACAGATTTTTTTTTCCCTTCACATCTTCAATTCAATATATTCATATACTCAAATTTAGATTTTCTTAATAAAAGAGAAAAATAATTTCACGAAATGATTGAAATTGTTAAGTAAAGAAATTAAATTAAATAGTAAATAAAACCGGCGCTAAAATGATCTTTCCCTTCCTTCGAATACGATTTTTTCAGTTTTATTCTTTTCAAAAAATTTGGCATCGTGGATAGTCTCCTTTCAAACGTTACTCGTCGTCCACATCTAAACTAATGGCTAATAAGCCAAACATCGATACATTAATATTATTGATTATATTATGTAGTACGAGTGGGGAGCTAATCAAAGTGAATGCAATCATTGGAGAAAATAGAAATCTGGTTGCCACGCACAAATTGATAACTTTGGGACAAACTCGTTTTATTGTTGTTGTGTTTTTCAATTAATTTTTAATTAACGGCAAGAGTAGAACTATGGGATTTAATCAATTATTCAGAGGCAAACCATTTGCTGCTGCTGCTGCTCCAACTTTAAATTTATAATAAACTTTTCATCTTCGCAAAACGTTTACTGTATGCATATTTAATGCGGGGGATAGGACATGGCCCTTCGTGAACTTTCCGCTCCTTTCACAGCTGCTTCTGATGTGACTATTCCTTCCACCCCATGCGACACCCTTTCTATTCGGTTCGCAAGAAAAATCCATGTTTTGCGATGTCACATTAATGACTTTGCGACGCTAATTAATTTAATACAGCTTTCATCAACAGTTCTTGTTAGCCGCTCGGAAACTTGCGCCGACGTCGCTGGATTTATTAAATATTAACTTGTCAAAGACAATATTGACAACGGCAAAAGAAGTATGATTTTTAATTAAAGTATTATAAGATAGGATATGTCTTACAAAACAATAAGAAAAACTGTTTCCAAGTGGTATATGTAGTCAACAGCGTTGGCCTTAATCGTATTTAGTAAACAAAAAAAAATATTAGAATAATTCCGCTTTTGATGAAATATTTCGTAGGAATATGAAACGCCGTGAATACGAAGTGGATAAATCTGAATAAATGAAATATTACATATTAAATTCAGAGATGCAGATCCAAAATTTTCTTCGAGCGAAGAGAGAACTGTGTACGTGAAAATGCATGTGAGGATTTCATAAACGTTCCACTCGAGGGGTGGAAAATCGATTGGCAAAAGGGGGAACGAGGTAGGGTTTTCACCAAGCATTTTCTTGACGTCGCCAATTAATCGCATTTCATTTTGCCACGTAATTGTCTATCCCCTTTTATGTGTCCACTTGTAGCAATAGTAGTAGTGGAAAAATCGTTCGGCCACTTAATACCTTCTTAATGTTCCGCGGATGCCGAAAAACTTCTGACGATAATCAGAAAGCGTTTTAACGTCAATTACCGCCTTAATTGCATGCGAACGGAATTATTTTCCTTCCCCAGATGCATTTCGCCATCTCCCCCCATTCCTTTCGCAGCTTCGAACACTGTAATTCTCCTCCTCAAACAAGAGAAGAGGCGAGAGTTTTAACTAATTGCATCTCCTAGTTTTCATCATTAGTTTTCACTGCATTCATTAAAACCGTACAAATGGAATGCGCTTTTATTGTTTGCCCGACGCGAGTTTGCCCCGAATCACAAAAAAAAATTTAAACATCGGAGATATACATACACAACAAAAAAAAAAACGTATTAATTTTCTTTTTCCTATAAAAATAATAGTAAATATAATGATAATAAGTATTAACAAAGTCTAATCACATCTAGTATAATCACATTTCTAACAGTAATAGAAAAAAAAAATGGTTATAAAATCAAGCAAATCACAACAATAGTATTACAATAATAATAGTTCATTCATCATTTTGTTTTAATTATATATTAAGGGACAATAAAAGCATACACAAAATATATATATATTATTATATAATATCCATATTAAAATTGTTTATACTGCCGTTATTTCTAAGTTGGGTTCGAAACGAAACTTAGGTCGAGGAGCGCTTCTGCACTTTAACATCTCTCCATCATCGTCAGTATGTCTTGTTTTTTTTATTTATTTATTTATTTACTCCCATTTTTGCACTGCACTAAACTAAATTTCCGTCTCTTTCTTTATTGTCTTCCACATTTACCAAATAATTTACGCACGAACGAACGGGGGATATTGGGGAGCGAGCGGAACAAGGTCGAAAAAGAAAACAGAACAAGTTGCTTCCTAAAATTGAAAGCAAACAAGGATTTCCATTCGAGTGCAGCCGAAATCGTTAGTAAAATTCGGCCCCGTTGTAATATTTCTTAAGTAATTAAAAATTCGCGCACATCGATCGATCCGATATTAAAATTGCAGAAGCGTACAACCCCATTATTATTATACCTCTTTTTTTTATTACATTTAATTACTTCATCCACTTAATGTTTTTTTTTTTAAAAAAAAGTAATCAAGATTTTCCTTTTTTTTTTATCTTTTCTTTATAATCTTACAGATAATTCTGAATATCACAGAATGTACACTACATCTAATGGCGCGTATAAAAGTCCTCAGATAGAAATATAATTTTTTTTTTTTTATATAATTTTAGTGTGCCTCGGTTTGATTAAAATCAATAAAACCATATGCGATTAATTTAATATAAGTTAGTACCGCCTTAGGTTAAGAAAATATATAAGGTACTAAGTTTAAAACATGAATTGGGAAATTCTGAATTAGATTAAGTTTTAGATAGTTTTATTGAGTTTAATGCCGGTGGGCCTTAATCCTTAATCGATTAAAAAACTGTACAGAGGAAATATATAGATTTAGTTCTTCAATAGACTTTTCTTTTCGGTTTTTTTCCTATTATGCTAAGACATGCCGGACGAAGGGTCGTCGTTGTCCGCCCCGACCCGTGTGGACTTCAGCCGGGTCTGACTAAAATTACTCACACTACTCCCCCTCGCACTGTATTCAGAGCTATCGACATACGCGTAATCGATATTGTCAACGTTTTTAACAAACATCGGCTCTGTATTAACGACGCGGCTACTGTATCTCTGCTCCTCGGAATCACCAGAAACTACTGGTTCCGTTTTCCGTTCTGTCTCCTTGCTCTTGTTCGATACGACCTTGCTCTGCTCGTCGCCACTCACCTCCTGCTCCAGGTATTGTTTGTCGTTTGGATTCAACTTCAGTTTCGCGATCCGGTTTTGGACTATTTGCAGATGCCGCAGGACGTAGTCCTCCGAGGGTGCCAAGCGATGAGCTCTTTCCAGGCATGACTGAGCCAACAACAACTTTCCTCTTTCCACATGGACCACGCACAGGTTGTGGAGTCCTTGTATGTTGGCTGGATCCAGCTCTAAGATCCTTCTATAACACTGCAAAAGCGAAATATTTAACTTAATGACATGGACTCTCAATGGGAATACATTCTAATTAAAGCACCACGGCAACATCAAGGAAACTTCGGACCCCTTTTACCAACATGAAAGCCCGTATATTATCTACACTCTCATTCATGTACTTTGTTTTCAAATGTCGCACAAATATTAACATTAAAATGAGATAGAAAATGAATGCAGCACCAACAAATACAACATATATTCAAAAGGTAATTTGAATCATATAATAAGCATTATATACTTTTGAAAGAAATTAACCCTATTAATAAAACTGCTAAGAGAAATTATTTAGAAAATGTTTACGATTTCGCTGCAATTTTTCATTGAAAATAGTTAAATTATGAAGTACTAAATTTTCATTCTTATCGTTAACGTATGAATTATTGACCTCGAACTATAATCAGGACAAAGAACGTATATATTTGATAATTAGAGTAAAAAGAGGTTTCATAAGAGCGCTATGTAATTTGAAGTGGAAACGTTAACAATATAATTTCAGTATTGCGTTTCACAACTCCCACAGTTTCATTGTATTTTTACATCAATTTCCCGTTGCAGTTAAAGTTATCCCGTAATTATGCAATCAATAACGTAATTGATGAATTTATGATTCGCGCGGGAATTACGGGCTTTAAGCTGCGTCGATGTTTAATGTGGGGTTGTAGAAGCGCAGACGGGAATTATGGAATTCTAGTTTCGTGCTGCAAAAGCAAGGGCTAATGTGTCGGTAGTGGCGTGGATTAAAAGTAACTTACATTTTCGGCGGCGTCTAAATCCTTGATGTTGTTAATGTAGATATCGCCCAGAAGGATTAGACCTTTAATATGATCAGGATGGTACTTGACGAGTTGGTTGAGGAACGGTGCTGCCTCCAAGGGTCTGTGGTCATCGGCCATTAGAAGGGCCAGATTGAAAAGGGCACTGCGGAAGTCACTCTTGAGGTGAACCGCCCTCCGGAACCAGTGCTCCGCTTCCTCGATGTTCTTATCGTCCATAGCGAGCATGCCAAGGTTGAAGTGAACACGTTCGTTGGTTGCGTCCTTCGCGAGCAACTTTAGGAGCCTTTCTCGCGCTATTTTCCTTAGCTCGGGCCTGCCAAGTTCTTGTAACAAGATCGCCGAGTTGAGGAGCGCTTGCTCGTGTTCCGGATCAAATTCTAGGGCCTTGTCCAAATAGGCCAGCGCTTGGGATGCTTTGCCCTGTTCCAGAAATACGACGCCCAGCTGAAAATTATATCGTTTTACGTATAGAAATAAAAGATGGTTCTTTTCTTGAGGGCTTCCCTCCCCCACAGCAAGGCATTGTACTCACATTGTAATATATATCCGGGTTATTGCTGTCGTATAAAAGTGCCCTCTCGTAAACCTCTTGCGCTTCTTTGGTGCGATTTAGTTTTATTAAAATATCGCCCCTGTTGATATACGCTTGCGTATAATCTGCCCTCATGCTGATTGCCTGTCTGTAAAGCATATCAGCCTCTTCGAGTCTAGTCGAATTCTTAGAGATGAGGTTAGCCAAGTTCAAGAAAACGTTCAAGTGATTAGGTGCGATCCGGGCCTGATAGGATTCGCCAGGTTTAGCTTTAGGCAGCAGAGATTTCGCTCTTAAATACGCCTCTTCCGCCTCCTTGAACATCTTCAAGTGATTGTATGTGCGGCCCACATTGATATGGGCCCCTATATCGTCCTGTTGTACGTTAACGGCTGTTTGAAAATACTTTAATGCGTCCGTGTATTTTCCCTGACCCTCGAGAGCGTGGCCTACATTATTAAATAACTTGGCGTTACGTTGATTTACATGCAGGCCTGACATGAAAATGGAATACTCTGTTTCCCAGTCCCAGTTCCGCAGATAAGTTTTCGTTCCGTGCATCACGAGGAGAAAACTTAGCGCGATCCACGCCAGCTTCTTGCCTTGTTTTTCTGCCAAAATGCTCCACCCGTACCCTACGAGCAGACAGAAGCCCATCGAAGGCATGTAAAGCACCCTCTCCGCAACCACAAAGCCCACGGGAAAGAATAAGTTCGACGCTGGCAAGAAGGGCAATATTAATAATGCCAGGCTCTGCAATAAAAGAAACACACGTTATAGTAATACCTTCAGAATGTCAATGCTCCACATAAATGTCAACGGCGTTAATGGCAGGGCCCTTAATAAATTTTATTGCCCCATCAACGTGCTATAAATCCATTCAAACCTTCATCAATGGCACCGTAAAGTGCAATCAACGGCAATCCTTCGCCAACTACAAGCAAATGTTACCAATATCGCAAAAACATGTTTGTTTCATGTGCCTTTTCTGTTTCTCTTTTTATTTTCTTGTTATTATTATAGTTTACTTTCGTAATCGGATATCCGAACAAACAAATCAAATGGTGTCCCACAATATGCACACTGCATTTCCATTAATTTTGTTTAATTTGAATGGAAAACTTCATTACAAACTATACGCATTTCCATTAATCCCGACCCAAATTGCTCAGTACAAAACCAACACTTTTTTTTTGATTTAAGCGAGTTTTTGGTTGTTTTTCGTTCTCCGAATGTCGACTAAAGGGATTTAAATAAAAAAAAAAACATACACACATAAAAAAAAACTTTAACAAAGTGAACAACAAATTGTATAAAATGAAGCGCAATTTTGTAATTTTAATATTTAATAAGGTAAATCCAAATGTTTTATTATATTGTCCACAGGAAAACAATGCACATCGGGTTGATTTAAATTGTACATCAAGTTTTATGACGATAGCACATCGTGTGTACGGAGAGCAGATTATTTCATCATTTTTTTTTTGTTGTTGTTGTTGTTGAAATGAGGATACGAGTAGAGAGCTCGCATCCAGTAATGTGTGCACAGGATGTAATTCGCAAACGGAATATAAGATGTAATGAAACGAGCATGTATACGTTGAAATGTTAATAAAAATAACGGAAAAGAAAATGAGAAATAAAAATGTATAAAATGTGGAAGCCGGTCCGACGGGAAATGTAAATGTATTTTAGAAGAACGTAGCGAAACGCGGAAGTAAATAACAACGGGGCAATTTACTTCTGTATCTTTTATTTCGTGTTTTGTTGGTCCCACGTATACGTATGAGTCTCAGTTAAATAGCATTAGTTCCGCGAAAATAAATGATTTTTTTTTCATTACGATTTAATGAATTCATCAATGCTGAAATGAAAAAATAACATTTTTTATTTCTCTCCAAAACAGTATAATGGAAACAAAATCATTGCATTTACTTCATTCAGATTAATATCCACGTTACACGCTATTATAAAATGCGCACTTTTTTTTTTGGTTTTTGTAAATTTTATTTATGGTTTGCGATGAATGGTCGTGTGTGTACACAATTGTCGTTATTGTGTTCGTTTATTTGTAGTTTTTAACATTTATGCATTCGGACAATTGTCTGCATCCGTACAACACACACATATATATATAAATACATATATAGCTGAAAGCAAATAATATTTTGCGCGGCCGGCAGGAATGTGTGCTTTGTTCGTGTTTCTGGTGGATGCGCCGGGCGTTTCCGTGTTCTCGCACTGTTATTATTGTAATGTCGGCGCGTTTCCGCTGAGAAACATCTCAGGAGGGGGTCAAAGTAAGGATCTCCGCGGTTCATAGCTCGACGCGGATATAAACGGGGATATAAAGAAAACATAAAGATGAGCAATAAAAGGAACGAACAAATTTCAAAATGGACATAAAAGGTAAACTTTTTTTCTTTCGTTTTCCCAATTTAACCGAGAAACAAACAAACTTTAGCAGTTACTTTTCATACTAAGTAGTGCTGTTAATTATAACGCTCGTGAATAAACCAATTCCAAGGTTTAATGTGCGTTTTTACAGCAAGTGTAATATAAACGTGTTTCTACAACTTGGATATTGAAAAAAACTTACAAAAGCAGTGGAAATTTAATTAATTGTGTGTACGTCCAAGGTTTCTAATATTTATCATTTGAGATGCGAAGAATGTGTAATTAATAAGATTTACTGAAATGTATAAAGTTTCACAGTAAACCTACCGAGATTGATCATATTTTTCAAAAAAATTAATTTACTTGAACATTGATTGTTTATAGAAACAGTACAAAGTCATAAAATAATCTTTAAATTTTCAGCAATTAATTTAATGCCGTTTGGCTGTAATTCGTGATCAAAGTTTTGTGGTTTTAGCCGTTTGGCTGTAATTGTGTCAAAGTAAAATGCTCGACAGTGTTTACATTTCATTGATTTTCTCGAAAACTATAATACATAGAATGAATCCAAAAGATGCATATGAAAGCTGAATGTTTGGGGAATC